ACTTTCACATCACTTATTTTATTTGGGAAACAACTGTTGTTGGTAATTATGACAGGTGATAGTCTATCTACTTTTCTGTTTTTGAGACAAGGTCTGGCTCAGTTGCCTAGGCTGGAGTGTAGTGGCTCCACCTTGCTTCACTGCAACCTCTGCCTCCTGGGCTCAAGGGAGCCTTCCACCTCAGCCTCCCAAGTAGCTGGGATTATAGGTGCATGCCACCACACTCAGCAATTTTTTTTGCATTTTTTGTAGAGATGGGGCTTCACCATGTTGCCCAGACTGGTCTCGAACTCCTGACCTCAAATGATCCACCCACCTTGGCTTTCTAAAGTGCTGAGGTATCATGCACAGCCTATGTACTTTTCATAGTGGAAACTGAGACAAAGAAAGCTTAAGTGCCTCATCCAAAGACATGTAACTTATCTGTTGCACTGCCTAGAATCCCATTCCTTTCCACTATTCCATGTACTCAGCCTGTTGAGAAACTTAAAAGTCCCATGAAGGCCTTGGGAGCTAATTAGAGCTCTGGAAAAATTTGTAGGAGGGGTGCTGGACCCAACATGGTGATTCCTATCGATATGCTTATCTGTTTAAAATTTGGTTGCACGTTTATTTTAAGTTCTTTATTTACCTGTTATAATTTTCTGCTTAATGTACAAAACTTGGGAAAAATTTAGAAAATCCTAAAGAAGCAGAAATAATCATCCATTAGTTCACTACCAAGCAATTTTCATTTATAATGAGTGTATATTTATAATATATAAGTTTCTCATTTATAATGAGAGGTCAGATAGAAACAGAACATTTAAAGAAAATTGGGACAGTTTGAACAATAACCACATCTTTGGGTTGATATCAAGGAAGACCATCACATTCTTTCAAAAACATTTCCCGATGCCTTTGTGAGGGATCAATCCTGTAATGACACCAAGGGTTATTATTGGCCTTTCATCTATTACCTAGTTTCACTAAACTTAAAAATATTTGCCCTCCATGTGCTGGGACTTCAGTTGCAGAGTTTGCTGCTTTAATTGATTCTAGCTTCCTGTGCTATCTAGTTATCCACGTGCCCACATTTTAGAGGCAGGGACCTAGTGCTGTATCTTTTTTTTTTTTTTTTTTTTTGATAGGGTCTTGCTCTGGCACCCAGGTTGGAGTGCAGCGGTGCAATCACAGCTCACTGCAGCCTTTGCCTCCCAGGCTCAAGCAGATCCTCCCACCTCAGCCTCCTGAGTATCTGGCACTACAGGCACACGCCACCATGTCCAGCTGTGTGTGGGTATGTTTTTAAAATTGTTTGTAGAGATGGGGTTTTGCCATGTTGCCCAAGCTAGTCTTCAACTCTTGGGGCTCAAATGAGCCTCCCAAAGTGCTGGGATTAACAGGCATGAGCCCCTGCATCTGGCCTCAGCTGTTGATTTAAATGGGTACCCCTGCTTGTCTCCACTCCAAGTGTCCTCCACTCTTGTCCAGGGGTCAGGGGAGGAGATGGATGTGGTGGTTATTCCCAACAGAGGAGAAGGTCCCCTAGCCCCACTGGGTGCTGGAATCACAGTTGTCCCTCCAGTTGCACCTTCATGCTATTTCTGCCCAGCTTCCTGTCCTCTTGGCCTTCACCTAGAAGTTCTCCATTTCCCATAGCACTTACTGAGCTGTTCCTCTCAAGACCAAGACTCTTCTTTGGATCCTTGAAATGCACCTTTATTCCTGTGACAGGCTCTATCCTGTGCTTGTTGTATCCTTGACCCTTGCTTCACTCCTTGCATAATAACAAAGTTCACTCAAAGTTGTCATCCAAGTCTTAATATTCTTTCCATGATCTGGGCCAGGAAAACCAGCATCTCCCAGAGGCTGTGATCTCACTACAGCAACTTCTTCTCACCTACCCCAATTCCACCCACCTTTGTGGAGGGGTCTTGTCTCCAGTGGACTCTTACAATGACCACTCAGGCTCAGACAGATGAGGGCCACCTCATCTGGTGACTAGCCAGTACCCGTTATTGATGTCCTGTTGTTCTTCTAACAGTAATGATTTCAAATGCAGCAGATGAACAAAGGGAAGTTCTGGCTGGGCAGAGCCAGCCCACGGCTACGTGACTTCGGCCAGAGCAAAATGACAGACAACATTGCCTTGAGATGTGACTTTTGGAGATAGAGATAGGACAGGCCCAACTTCCCCAAAATCAAAATTAATGCAATTAGACAACTTGTGACAATCATAGGGACCTTCAGGGTACTGATGTTACATGCTGATTGTTACCTCTAAAGTTCCAACCTAAATTCTTAAAATCTTTTAGGACACTTTCATTTGAGTGAATATCTTTTAAACTATATAATGTCTCCAATTGTTAACAAACCCTAAGAAATAATTTTAAAAGTAATTAAAAGGTGATCATATATTTACCTCATAACTTCTTTCATTCAAGAGAAAAGCAAACACTAGTTTGTTGAAGCTACCATTTTCAGGTTTCTCCTACTGACAGATAATAGAATGAGACAACATGGCTGTGAATTTTCTATAGCCAAAGCTGGGAAAGACTTAGAATATGAGGTTTATACTTTCCCAAGCAGATGTGGAGGAATAGAATATTAGAGGAGAATGAGTGAGCCAGGTGGAGGGAAGGGGACCACAGTAAAAGTAGGAATAGATCTCTGAGACAGGCCCTGGCTGCCAAAACTCAGAGAAGGAGATGACAATACAAATGTAGTTGTTTTCTGTTGCTGCTGAAAGAAATTACTACAAGCTTTGTGGCTTAAAACAACACAAGCATATTGTCTACAGATCTGGAGGTCAAAAGTCCTACAAGGATGTCACTGGGCTAAAATTAAGGTGTTGGCAGGGCTGCATTCCTTTCTGGACGTTGTAGGAGAGAATTGGTTTCCTGGCATTTATTTGCCAGCTTCTAGAAGCAGGCTGCCTTCCTCAGCTCACGCCCACTTCCCTACGCAAAGGCAGCACTGGCCAGTGGTATCTTTCTCATACTGTATCGCCCTCACACTGACTCTTCTGCTTCTTCCACATTTGAGGGCCCTTGTGATTCTACTGGGCTCACCTGGATAATTTGGGACACTCTTCCTATCTCAAGGTCAGCTGATTAGCAATCTTAATTCCACTGTACTTTACTTCACCCTTGCCATGTAACAACATCGTCATAGGTTCCAGAGATAAGGAAGTGGGTATCTTTGGGTGACCATTATTCTGCCCACTGTGAAGCCCATTCAGGTTTGGAGATACATACCCTGTTTCTTCTCTGGTATCCTGGAAGCTTTGTTAGCCTCTATAAGCTCTCTGTACTGTCCTGGGGAGACAGCAATCAAGTAGGCATGGCAGTGAGGGTGCCGGTGATTCCTGGGCCCCAGGAATGAGCATGGCGGTAGCTGCAAGAGCTAGCAGGTCCCACAGGGACTGACTGGTTAGGACAGTGAGGCATGAGTGAAAACCACCACGAATCCCATCATGGGACCAGATGAGGATGTGATGCCTTAGAGCACACCGGTGAGGGCCAGGTAAGATTGTTCTCAGCAATGTCATGAGGGAGCTGCCGATGGCTGAGGAGCCCCACTCCAACGCTGCAAAAACCCTCCTGGGAGACGGAACAACCTCTGAATTGATCCCCAAACATCTAAGTTGGTTCAGAAAACACTGAAGTTACTGTGAAAACTGTGATTTGTCTAAGATGAAGTTTCTGTCACTAGGCTAGATGAGAATTTGAGATAGAAATTAAGTTGTTGTAGAAAAATAATGAAAGTCCATATTTCACACCCCTAATTTTGTGCTGAGTTGCACCTGCTACGTATAAATTGGGACAGTGCTGCTCTATCTGCCTTTCTGACAATACTATTGGGAGAGATTTCTTTATTTGCAAGCACTTGGTAAAATGAAAGCTCGCTGTAAATCTGTGTTTTCCTCCTTAAGCTCCTTGGGTGAGGTGGACGTTGGTGTCAGGCTCTGGAGGGAGAAGTATGTGACATTCTGTTGAGGCTGTTACTGCATGGCTATTTTGAAGCCATCACATTTTCAGCATTTTTTTTAAGACCAAGTAAAATGTAAATATAAATCCCCACCCAGTTCTGTTTTTTTTTTTTTTTTGAGACGGAGTTTCACTCATGTTACCCAGGCTGGAGTGCAATGGCGCGATCTCGGCTCACCGCAACCTCCGCCTCCTGGGTTCAGGCAATTCTCCTGCCTCAGCCTCCTGAGTAGCTGGGATTACAGGCACACGCCACCATGCCCAGCTAATGTTTTGTATTTTTAGTAGAGACGGGGTTTCACCATGTTGACCAGGATGGTCTCGATCTCTTGACCTCGTGATCCACCCGCCTCGGCCTCCCAAAGTGCTGGGATTACAGGCTTGAGCCACCGCGCCCAGCCTCCAGTTCTGTGTTTTGCTCCAAGGTGTGACTGCAGGGGGCACAGGCTTGGTGGGGGCCGGTGCCCTTCCTGTGTGGGGAGTGGTCACCTCACTGTGGTTGTCCTGAGTCATTATCTTCTGCTCACACTCATGCTTCCACACGGTGCCCTCTAATGGTTTTTCATCATAATCTTAACAACTATCAAGTCTACCAATTTGCTCTAAAAATCACTGAAAGGCACCCTTTTGGAAGAAAGTGGTCAGGGGAAGAAATCACCAAGAGCTGTAAAGTTTGAGGCCTGAGGAGATTTAATTGCAATGATTTGGCCTCAGCTTAAGAGTAGCATTGAGAGTGTTCTGAGAAACTCCCCCCAGACTGTGATGGTCTTCATTGGATACTGGAGGCCCAGGCCCTGACACTGCAGAGACAAGGCATCAGGCCTCCTGAGGGGCTAACCAGCTTTCTGGCTTCCTCACCATGGGCCAGTGTTTCTAGGGCTGACCCCATGTGTTGGGCCCCAGAGCTCTTGGACTTATTACAGAGAAAGTGATTGTGATCAGTGGGTTAGTCAGTATAATTCAAATGCTTAATATGTACGTTTTTGTTTTGTATTTGAAGTGAAAAAATAATCATTACGACATCAGTAATAATGTTAACTAATATTTATTGAATGCTTATTGTGTGCTAGGCACCAGGCTAAAGTACTTTACATACATTATCTTGTTTAATCCACATAAGAGCTCTGAGGGGGAAGAATGATTATTATCCTCATTTTAGAGACAAAGATGCTGGAGCTTAGAGAGGTTAAGGTTCCCTGCCTACAGTCACCCAACTTGCAAGTGACCAAGCCAGGGCTTGAACCCTGGTCTGTGTCTCTGGCTCCAGAGCCTGGGTGACAAGCAGTATTAACGCCACTGCTGGAGAGAACATAACTCTGACATTTGGGGATGGCTCTCTTGGAATCCTGCTTTCTTACCCTAGTAGCTATTAGCAAGCCAATAATTGGGAGCTTACTTTGCACGGGGACAGGGTGGATCTGGCTTCAGGAATTCTTAGGGGTAGGGATGGGAGAGACTTCTGGACCCTTGAGACCTTAAAGGGGCTCACATAAGGCTCAGCTTATGGGAGTGAGAATGGTGGGGTGGAGAACTAGAGCTCAATAATACTGCCTTATATAAACCTGACTGACATTTTTCAGTTTATATTGTCCATGGACAATTACAAAAGAAGCATTTTCCTAAGGATAAAGCTACATATCGGAATGTTAATTACAGATACAGCTCATTGGTTTATGCAGTTTCTTCCCAACAATTTGAGGTGATTCTTGTGATCCTGGAATCTAAACATGGCGTCACTATCATGTCCTGGACAGAATCAGACATGTGGTATAGGAAAGGCACAACCTTTCTGGATGTTACACAATAGCAGCAGCAGGCAGGAGACCAAATAGCATATGGTTTTCATAAATAGGAGGAGATGCATTCTTCTTATGATGTGAACATTTAAAGTTCAGTCGGTTGTCAGGGCATTGGGTAGGACTGGTGACTTCAGACTCTCAGCTCTGGTAGTGGCAAATTTGATGTCTCATCAGTCTACACACTCTGGAGGGTAGTTTAAAGCCACGGTTTCATCTCTGAGCTGTTGGGTGGGACAGAACAGAGGAAGAGATATTAGATGTGGGTGAACAGAAAATCTGACCATGGAGATCTCAATGCTTTGACAAATGCAACCACAGAAACACCAGGCTCTTTTTTTTTTTCAGTTTTAAAGGAAACATTGGTCAATTCACTGTCATTGAAAATGGTGTGACTAAATTCGGGCATTTGATGTGTCTATTATCCCTTCTTCCTCAGAGGAAAGGAGTCTGGGGTGATTCCTCATCCCTGGGACCCCAAGAAACCTCTCTGCATTCTCCCCAGACCAGCCTTCTCCTTCCATTTTATGAATGCAGTACGTTTTCTGTGACAGTGCTGCCTCCACCACTGATGACAAAGCTCTGTGAACTGGACACTACAAGTGCTGGGGACAACTCTTCAGAGTCCTCCACCTCTGGCTGGTGGTCTCCACCCACAGGCCCTTGCAGACCTGTTTCCTGGACGGTCAGATCTGAGTCTGTTTCCCCACACTGCAGCGGGAGTAATGCCTGGTGTCGCGTCAGTGTATCACTGCTTTTCTGGGCCTCCAGGGAGTTCTGGTGCATAGAATTCCTGTGGGCCGTGGCGTTCTTCTGAGGCTCATCGAAGCTCAGTGAGAAGGTGACTGTGCCGCTGCCGAAGATGACCTTCTGCTTGCATCTGGGCTGCTGCTGCGATTGTTGCTGCTGTTGGAGGGTCAGGGGCTGCTGCTGCTGCTCCTGCTGGGTTAGGGCCAGCGGCTGCTGCTGCTTCTGCCTCTCGGGCTGCGGGAATGGGTCTTCACTGTTGCTCTTGCTGCTGATGGAGGAGGAGGGGGTGGATCCAGTGGAGCCCCCAAGGCTGCTGGACCGCTTGCGGGAGACGTTGCTGCGGCGGAGCGTGGCCCGGGCAGCCACCTTGAAAGCGTGAGCCGCGGTGCTGCAACGCACCTCCTCGATGGTGTTGCGGGATGGCTTGAAGAGAATGATGTAGATCTTGTTGAAGAAGATGCATGCCAGCAAGCCAAAGCTGGCTGCCAGGATGGCAATCACCTCCACGGCAGAGACAAACTTGCCATAGGTGCTGGCGTAGGCTGGAATGAAAGAGATCCAGACGATGAAGAAGATGAGCATGCTGAAGGTGATGAACTTGGCTTCGTTGAAGTTCTCTGGCAGCTTCCGGGACTTGAAGGCGAAGAAGAAGCAGATGGCAGCCAGCAGGCAGGTGTAGCCGATCAGGAAGCCCAGTGCCATGAGTGAGCCCTCGTGGCACGTGATGAAGATGATCTCATCCTCCAGCTCGTGGTTGCGGTAGCTTGATGGGGGTGCAGTGTAGAGCCAGATCACACAGATGACGATCTGCATGAAGGTGCAGAGGAAAACCAGTAGGAACTGCAGGTTGAGCCCCCACCACTTGCGGTGGAAGCTGGTGGGGATCTTGGCCTCAAACACCAGGAGGACGCGGTTGGTTTTCACCAGGATGCATGAGATGCAGAGCACGAAGCTGATGCCAAAGGCTGGCTGGCGCAGGCGGCACGTCCAGTCCTGGGGCTCCCCGATGAAGAACAGGGAGCTGGAGAAGCAGCAGAGCAGGGAGAAGAGGAGGAGGTAGGAGAGCTCGCGGTTGGTGGCCTTGACAATGGGCGTGTTGCGGAATTTGATGAACACACCCAGCACAAAGGCTGTTAGGAAAATGCCCAGCACGGCGAAGAGGGTGAGTGCGATCCCAAATGGCTCCGTCCACGACAGAAACTCAATCTCCTTGGCAATGCAGGAGGTGTGGTTCTCATTGGACCAGAAGTCATCTGGGCACTTATTACAGGCACTGGCATCTGTAAAAAGTCCCGGTGAAGAGTGAGTTACTGTGAGGCATAGACTAAAACGTATGAGTGTGCATGTGGTGGTGGGAATACATAGGTTATTGGATGTGGTCACTACATATTTTCTTCACTTTGATGAAGTCATTTTGATTTTTACATTATCAAAAAATATGCTGAACCCTGACATGTTTAATAACATGGTTAATTTCACATAACTCTGATGATTCTATTGTCAGTTTGTTTTCCCTTTGCACATGACATGGGTGGGGGACCTTGCTTCCTTTAACACTACGTGCTGATGGTTTATAGCAGGGAATGATCAAACTTGCTGGACAGGTGGCTGCCTTGCACACCAGAGGTCTAGCATCAACTCTTCACAGAATGATTCAAGCTCAGCCTGATTTATTTATTTATTTATTTATTTAAATATTATTGTGTACTATTTGAGGTTTATAACATGGTGGTGCAGGATACATATGGGCAGTAAACTGGCTACTGTAGTGAAACAAATGAACATATCCAACGTCTCACATGGAGACTGATTTATTTTGGATATATGGATGGTCTCTGTAGATATGCCAGAGCAGACTTCCTTTTAGATCAAGGCAGAGTATCCCATGCACATGACCTGTGCTTTCCTCACTGCACACCCACAGCTTTTCAATGAGGGACGCTGCAAACTCATTCAATTGACAACTGTTTACTAAGTCTCTGCTAACTCCCAGGTAGTGTGCAGTTTTGGGCAGTGAAAGGAGCACGGGTTTTGCAGTTAGAGATCTGGATGGAATCCTGGCCATGCTACTTACTAGTGATGTGACTTTGGTCACTTCTTAACTTCTAAGAGCCTCAATATCTTAATTTGTAAAATGGAAGCAGCAATAACCCCATTATTGGGGCGAGGATAGAATGAGATAATAATATCAACTATAGTTAATATTTATAGAGTACTTCTAATATGCCAAAGTTTTATTTAACAAATATTTATCTGGAACTTACCATATGTATTACCAATATTAATTTGTTTAATTCTTCAAACTCTATAGGATAGGTTTAATTATTATTCCCATCTAAAAATAACCTGAAGCACAGGAAAAACATAAGACAGCAAATTCAGTGCCAGGCACCCAGCAGGCAATCTATCATGGCCTATTAACTCTGGAGCCTGGAGCAGACAGAACTTTGTCCATTCAGAGCCACTAAGCTCTAACAAGAAGGAAACATATTGGCCAGCAGTATAAGGTAAAAGAAAGATGTATAATAGGTGTTGTTAGCTTTTATGGTATTAAAAGAACATTTAACATTCTTTTTCTATGGCACTTCCATGCCCAACATTTTGTGATGCTCAGACATACTCTTGTTAAATGAGAAACTGTGCAAAACACCATCTCAGCCCAGCACTTCCATGGGCTTCACTAACCCCAGGACTCCGAAGTGGAGCAAGCCCTGCACAGTGCCCAAGAGGGGTTCTTTTACCTGTCTCGTCACTGTACTCCCCATCAGGACACTCCACACACTCAAAGCAGCAGGTGGGTTCCCCCTCAATGATCCCTTTCCTGGTCCCTGCCAGGCAGTCTCGGCTGCAGTTGGAGAAGGGCACCTGGAGGACCGACAGCACAAAAGTGAGTGGCTAGAGCTATAGGGCCAGGGGCCAGCCCTACAGCCTCTTCCAAACATTTAAGAGGGAGGAGTTGGGACACAAGAATCAGTGTGACAGGCACTGGGCCCATTCCAGGCAAAGGGAGGTCCAGAAGTTCTTGGTTCTGATATCTGTGAAGGGGACAGATGCCTATGGGCAAATGTGTATAGGCCCACAAACACATGTGCATGCACACATACATACACACATACTCATGGGATTCTATGATGATCTGGGAAGACCACCACTACTTTCTGCTACTTGAAAACAGAATGAAAAATCCTAAAACACTAGCCAACAGACTCAAGGGACATAAGAAAGAAAATGCATCATGACTGTGTTGGGTTTATGCCCAGGAATGCAAAAAAAATCTAATATTAGAAAAATCTATAAGTATTATTCACTGAATTAACAAATTAATTGAGAAAAACATCATATGATCATCAATAGATAAATAAAAAGCACTTCATGAAATTCAACACAAACTATTGATAAAAGCATAGTAAAAAAGGAGTGGGAAGAAATATCTTTAACTCGAAAAAGAGTACCAGAAACCTCTTATAGTAAACATCATCAGTATAGAGAAAATATTAAATGCATTTCCCTTTAAAACAAGTATGTTCACTATCAACACTACTCTTTAACCCTGCATTGGAGGTCCTAGTTAGTGGAATCAGACAAGAAAAATAAGTGCATACATTTTGAAAGGTACCAAATAAAACTGTAATTATTTGCAGATAATATGGTTGCCACAAAGGAAACCCAAAAGAACAACCAAATAATTAGAAAAAACTGAAGAGCCAGCCCAGGCTAAAATGCCACAGACTACCAGTGTTCTTACCAGAATTTCATCAGTTTTTCTTAAAAACAAACAAACAAAAACCCTTCACCTTTGCTGTGTGCTTTTGGTTATCTTCCAGGTTCTTCAGTGGCTTTTGTCAGTTTTGTCCAATTTTATCATTGTTTCACCGTTTCAGAAGTCTTGCTTCTATCTCATTCTTTCATTGCACCAGCTAATCAAATATTTATTCTAGAAATTTATTAGTTATTTACTATTTAACAATCTATATGTTTCAAGGACAATAAATATATCATAAGAATGAAGTCCATCTTGCAACAGCATATGTATCTTAAAGGTACAGAGCACTTCTCACTCATTTTTGTAACCCCAGGTACAAAGCCTGGAGTAATGCTTAATACATAGTGGGTCTCTTACTATTTCCATAATGTCTATTTAATGAGTCTCCCCTCTACCTACTACTTTGTAAGATGTCTTACAAACATGCAAAGCAGTAAAATAACTGTCATTGTTTCTAGCAGAAGTGACTGACCTGACAAAGGAGTTTTAGAAAACTTCAATAGAAGATGATTAACATTAAGGAATGAGGAATGGAAAGGCAGTATTGGATCTGATGATTGTAAAGACTCTTATGACCCAGGGATGGGAAGGGGCAGGGAAGGAAAAGGACAACTTACATCAGCATCTTCAATTATGGTGACAAGGTATCCTCAGAGATGTGCTCTCAATCTTTCTTAAGTTGCCAGCCAACCCATTTGATCACTGAATGAAAATTATGAGCCCTGTTTCCCAAAGCCACACTAGGAATGCTTCTAAATTTTCCCCATTAAAGAATAATGGTTGCTTCCTCTCTTCCTATTTGAATATCGTTTATTTCTTTCTCTCGTCTGATTTCCCTGGCCAGAACTTCCAATACTATGTTGAATAAGAGTGGTGAGACAGGCATCCTTGTCTTGTGCCAGTTTTCAAGGAGAATACTTCCAGTTTTTGCCTATTCAGTATGATATTGGCTGTGCGTTTGTCATAAATGGCTTTTATTATTTTGAAGTATGTTCCTTCAATACCTAGTTTATTGAGCATTTTTAACATGAAGGGAGGTTGAATTTTGACGGTTTCTTCTGCATCTATTGAGATAATCATGTGGTTTTTGTCTTTATGTTATGAATTACATTTTGCAGGAACAGAAAACCAAACACCCCATCTTCCCAATTCTAAGTGGGAGTTGAACAACAGGAACACATGGACACAGGGTGGGGAACAACATTCACTGGGGCCTGTCAGGGAAGGGCGGGGGATGGAAAGCATTAGGGAAAGGAACTAGTGCATGCTAGGCTTAATACCCAGGTGATGGGTTGGTAGGTATAGCAAACCACCATGGCACACGTTTACCTATGTAACAAATCTGCATATCCTGCACATGTACCCCAGAACTTAAAAGAAATAAAATGCATGGTGGGAGTGTAAATTAGTTCAACCATTGTGGGAGACACTGTGGCGATTCCTCAAGGACCTAGAAATAGAAATTCCATTTGACCCAGCAATCCCGTTACTGGGTATATATCCAAAGGATTATAAATCGTTCTACTATAAGGACACATGCACACGAATGTTCACTGCAGCACTGTTTACAATAGCAAAGACCTGGAAACAACCCAAATGCCCATCGATGATAGGCTGGATAGGGAAAATGTGGTACATATACACCATGGAATATTATGCAGCCATCAAAAACGATGAGTTTGTGTCCTTTGTAGGGTCATGGATGAACCTGGAAACCATCATTCTCAGCAAACTGACACAAGAGCAGAAGATCAAACACTGCATGTTCTCACTCACAGGCGGGTGTTGAACAATGAGAACACATGGACACAGGGAGGGGAGCACTACACACTGGGGTCTGTTGGGGGGAAATAGGAGAGGGGCAGCGGGGGGAGGGGAGTTGGGGAGAGATAGCATGGGGAGAAGTGCTAGATGTGGGGGATGGGGAGGAAGGCAGCAGATCACACTGCCACGTGTGTGCCTATGCAACAATCTTGCATGTTCTTCACATGTACCCCAAAACCTGAAATGCAATAAAATTTAAAAAAAAAAGAAATAAAATGCAAAAAAAATTATAGTTGCTGTATCCTCTATCAAGGTAAAGCGAGATTCCCTTCTACTCATAGATTAATGAAATTTTTGTTTTTAACCTGAGAGGGTGTTGAATGTTAATGGATACTTTCCCTGTGTCTGCTGACATTGTAGGACTTTGATCTTTTATTCTGCTAATGTAATAAGCTACATTTATGAACTTTGTAATGTTTGGCTATCATTACATTCCTGTACATTCACTGCTAAGTCTTCTAGGATCTGATTATTTTATACATTGCTGGTCTATGTTTGCTGATGTTTTACTTAGGACTTGAGCATCTACATATATAAAAAATATTGTCCTATAATTGTCTTTGCTTGTACTATTCTACGTGTTTTTGGTATCAAGATTATATTATCATCACAAAATGAGTTTAGTAGATTTCCTTCTTGGTTTCTGGTAGGCTGAGAGTGCCAAAAATCTCAAAATAACAACTCCAACAAGACTGAACTATATTTCTCTCTTGTGTAAATGTCTAGGGACATGGTCCAGAGTGATACAGCCCTCCACAGTGTTGGACACCTATACTCTTTCTACCTGGTGGTTCTGACATGTTTGTCTTTGCCTTACAGTCCTTAATAGAGGCATTTGGTTGCCAGGAGGCAAGACAGAGGAAGGGATGAAGAAGAGAACAAAGGATACTTTTAAGTGCTTTCTTAAAGAAGGTTCCCGGAAGCCATTCCACAACACTGCCGCTTACATCCCATTCTCCAGGATTTAGTCATGGGGCCACACTTAGTAGAATAGAAGGCTGGAAAATGTCATCTTGAATCTGAGTAGTCATTAATATAAAATTTATAGTTAAATATAGATGGTATTCTTATGGTTATTTCCACAAGAAGTACAGAAAATAACAGACTAGATTCTAAGACTTGTTGAGTATCTACTGCGTGCTAGGGTTGAGGTAATGTTTCTAAGAAAAAATTAGATTTAACTTATAACTCTGTCAAGTATTCCAAGAACATCAGTGATTGAATTTATGAGAATTCCTTGTGTTATTTGTTTACCAACGTTTAAGCCCATGATGTACATAGCCTGGGAGAGGACATTAGGGTTATGGAGAACTGTACAGGAAATAGTTCCCTGTTGGAGTGGAGAGGAGGCACGCACCATTAGAGAATTCAATTCTATGCATTAATGGGGGTGAAAGATAACCTGGATGATCCAACAGGGTTAAACAGGTGGCAGTATAGCTGATCAATTTAGACTTCGGTCAGTGAAAATGTGTCATAAGTTAGGCAAAGGTATAATTAGTGGACAGACATCTCCAGACATCCCCCAAATCTCCATCTGGAAAATGTCATGACATGTTTATAATTGAGAATCCACCCTCTGAGGTGGAAGTTATTAAAAACTGCAGACTGTAGACGAGATTCACTGTCTATAGGAGACCTTCCCAGGGGTAACCCATCCTACATTTGGGTAACAGTGAAATCATAGCATCTCATCAGAAACCCGTCAATCTAAGAAGCATTTGGTAAGAAGAAGTCGAATCTTTGGTTATGTTCTAAAAAGTGGCCCAAGACGGCCGGACATGGTGGTTCACACCTGTAATCCCAGCACTTTAGGAGGCCGAGGAGGGTAGATCACCTGAGGTCAGGAGTTTGGGACCAGCCTGGCCAACATGGTAAAACTCCATCTCTACTAAATATAGAAAAGTTAGCCAGGCATGGTGGTGTGCCTGTAATCCCAGCTACTCGGGAGGCTGAGGTGGGAGAATTGCTTGAACCTGGGAGGTGGAGGCTGCAGTGAGTTGAGATAGAGCCACTGCACTCTAGCCTAAGCAACAGAGCGAGACCCCGTCTCAAAAAATAGTGGCCCAAGATGTTCTAAGGTGATAACAAAAAGGCAAATGCAAATAGAAAGGTGGTGGGTCTTATCCAGGCTTCCTGGGAGAGTTAAGAGGATGCCCTGTCTGGGGTCTGTGCTCTACAGTGGACCTGGGTTCTCAGCAGCATGCTATATTCTGGGACACAACCATCGTCGAATGGCCATCATTCTAGTGTATCACATTTCTCTTTCTTCAGAGAAGTCATATTGATTGAGGGATGGGCTTCTGGCTATTAACAGGCTTCTAGATGCAGTGATACTCAGGGACACTAGCATCCTCTTCTTTGTTATGGGTCTCCTAGAGGAGGAGAATAAATTGTCCTTTCTGTTTACAGGTCAGCCCTGGGCTATCTGGATGACAGCGAACTATCTCTGTGTGAACTGTTCAGGCCATGAAGGGTAGTGACAACACCAAATGACTCAGTTGAAAACATCCAGCTCCATTTTGGGCCCCAGTGTCTCTCAATGGCTGTTACTGGCCATTGGGGTGGGGGCAATTCTTTGTCATATAAAATTGTGCCACACATGCTGGACACTTAGTATCCCTGGATCCCAAGTGCTGAAGGCTATTAATGCCTCCTGGACATTGTGACAACCCAAAAGCAGTCCCCTCCACTCCAAAACTTGTCTCCCCTTCCCTTGGCTCAGTTGAGAGCCACTGACTTGACCAATGTTTACACTTGCTCGTATTGCTCTGGTTAGGGAAAGTTTTAGCCAAGGAAACTTTATGACTAGCTAGGGAGTCATATTTGTGAAAAATGAAACTATTTCAATACCATAGGAAGGCATGGGGCTCAGGTTCTGGGGATTCTTCTCTTTACACTAAACACTATGTATTTCACAGGGAGCCCCAAGATTGCATAGGCCAGAGAGTTCAGAGAAGTGGACTCTTTATTTTAGAAGTCCAGTGGGGAAGCCAATGGCCCTCCCAAAGCCCAGCACAGTTTCCTGCCCCTAGTGGAGGCATCTTTTCTGACCTACCTCCCTGGAGAACCCACTCCACAGGATTTTCTCCTCGTTGATGAAGAGTCTTTCTCCCTTCTTGGCATAAACGTTGTAATACCCAACTTCCTTAAACATGATGGAGCCATCCTCTGGGGAGAGGTGCCAGTTGATGATGGAATAGTTCCCTACCAGGTCACCACACTCATCAAAGGTCACCTGCTCCCCCATATTGTTGGTAAAGTTGAGGTGCCGTAGGTGCTTCAGGACCTAAAGAGGAGCAGAGATGAATGAGTACAAGCCACACGACTGCCACATACGACCAATAAGGTAGGCTATGTCCTGCACAAGAACAGTAAACTATCTTGCTCCAATGAAGTGGGAGGAACGTGACTTGAAGAGGCAGCTTTTTCTAATTCACACCAAAGTACTTGCATGTATTAGCAGCAGCCCCGGTAAGCCACAGGCTTTAATTATTATTCAATTGTAATTAGGGTAGGAAGCACCTTCTTGAAGATGGGGAAAGGAATGGGAGACATCTTACCTGGCAACTGGCCAGGTCAAAGATTCTGCAGGTGTGCCATCACCTGGTGGTGCCCCAGGAGGGGTGGGATTTATAATCTGGATCCCATCCCTGGCATCTTCTGAGCTGGGCTTTGGGGAAGGAGAGTAGAAATGGCTGAGAGCTCTTCTTCTCAGCACTTTCTTTCCCTATGGCCCTGCTGCTGTGGAAGAGCTTTGCTGCTAAAATTCACAGGGGTGCACAAACCCTTAGTAGGAGCACCCTTAGTAGGGGTGGAAGGAAGAAAGAGATGAAGCTGTGGGTGAAGCCCTGGCTATTATTGTTGTCAGAGCCATAGCAAATCCTTGAATTTTTATAAGGTTTTACATGTCGCAAGCCTTTGCACAAAAAAGTCATCATGATAATTACTAACACATATCACATGTTAGCATTTAAACAGTTTAGATATCAGTCACTTGACTACCGTTGAGGCACAACCCTAAGTACTTTATATTCATTATCTAATCGAATCTTCATAACAAATAGTATTAAGCTGATTGTATTGCTGGAGAAACTGAGGCACAGAAAACTTAAGTATCTCGTCCAGGGTCATAAGCCTGCATTCTTTTTTTTTTTTTTTTTTTCAAACGGGGTTTCGCTCTTGTTACCCAGGCTGGAGTGCAATGGCGCGATCTCGGCTCACCGCAACCTCCGCCTCCTGGGTTCAGGCAATTCTCCTGCCTCAGCCTCCTGAGTAGCTGGGATTACAGGCATGCGCCACCATGCCCAGCTAATGTTTTGTATTTTCAGTAGAGACGGGGTTTCACCATGCTGACCAGGATGGTCTCGATCTCTTGACCTCGTGATCCACCCGCCTCGGCCTCCCAAAGTGCTGGGATTAAAGGTGTGAGCCACCGCGCCCGGCCTAAGCCTGCATTCTTAATTGCTATACTCTACTGCAGCATCATTGGGCTCCTGCCTCTGCTTCCTCACATGCTCCTGACATCAGTCAAGAGGGGCAGTGGGTGCTCAGCCACTTATCTTTCATGTGGGGCCAGCCTTGTGTCACTGTGGCACCATGTGAGAGTAGGGCAGGGACTAGCCTGAGAGTATAAGACACAGCTTCCACTGTACCTCCTGAGTCTCCAGCACTTTCCCATTCTGAGCTATTTTGTTTGTTTGGTTTTTGTAGAGGCAGGGCCTCACGATGTTGCCTAGGCTGGTCTCGAACTCCTGGGCTCAAGCGACACTCCTGCCTCAGCCTCCCAAAGTGCTGGAATTAGAGGCATGAGCCACTGTGCCCGGCCACTTATCTTTTTTTTTTTTAAAGTTCAGCTTTTTATTAAACACATTATATAAGAGAGGTTTAGTCAAAAAGACCAAAGCTCGTGTCATCATCAGACTCCTCGGATTCTTCTTTCTTTGCTTTCACTTTCTTCTCCTCAGCTGGAGCAGTAGCAGTGGAGGCGGCAGGAACTCCTGCTGGTGCAGCACCAGCGGCTGGAGCAGGTCCATCAGCCCCTACATTGCAGATGAGGCTTCCAATGTTGACGTTAGCCAGGGCCTTTGCAAACAAGCCAGGCCGAAAAGGTTCAACATTTATACCGGCTGCTTTAATGAGGGCATTGATCTTACCCTCCGTGACAGTCACCTCATTGTTGTGCAGAATGAGGGCCGAGTAGATGCAGGTGAGCTCGGAGGCTATGGCGTGGGCGAGTGTGGGGCTGGCGCTGCCGGATGTCGCCGGTTGAAGTCAGGGCCTCACCCCAACGCGGCCTTAGCTTCCTCGGAAGGACCGAGTACCTTGGCGGCAGCTGAGGAAAGGCTATCATGTTTTTAAGACACCTAAAATCCAATGTCTAATCTGACAGTGGGACAAAGTTTGGGCTGGGTCCATCTAATGGATGACATTAGTAGGCCTTTCTGAGCCTACGTTAATCTGATGTGCATGACAAACATGCAGACTGAGCCAGCACCTCTCCTGTCCCATTCCAATCCAGAGATGACACTGCTTCTTAACCGTTTGTATCTATACTGACTTTATTTTTAAATAAACTTTTATTTATTGTAAGGAAGATTAAATACAGGAGAGGAGTCACTTGGATTTATCCATAAGTAGCTCCAAGATATGCTTGGGGGCAAAGTCCATGACAGACTATGCATGCTCACAGGCATACCACCTTGGGCACCTTCCCTAACCTGCAGTCTGGGACCTCCTCACTGCTCCCCTGGTGGGCCCTCGCTGCCCTGACTTTTGACCCAGGCCTATGAAGGAGAGGGACCCCTCACCCCTGGCTACCTGATTCTGCAACCAGAGCTGCTGAGCCATCCTCAAAAAAGATGGAGAATGACTCCCACTAAGGATTTGTGCCCACTGTGTTCTCCCAAGCCTTCCCACCTTCTCTGATAATTGACAACCTTATTTTTGCCTTCATTTTTACTGAGGCCTTAAGGCAGTCAGTGGAGAGGAGGTGTTCTAGACGTGTTTCTTTCTTTAACCTCCACCTCCTCTTCCTATCCCCCCTCGCTCTTAGGGTGACCTGACTTCCTCCTACCCAGAGTGGTATACATCGTTTTGTCTCTATCCCAACATACCCCTGTCCTGACACATCCTCTTGCCCTCAGAGGGCCATGCAGTTCTTCTGCTCTTTAATACTGCCCCACTCCTGCATTGCTTGAAACCTTTCTCCTAGCAACTTGGGAATCTTTTTGACACAGCCAACTATCTTCCATGCCGTAATCATGCCCTTCCAACTTCCTGTTGGGGACCTACCAAGACTCAGATGAAATGTGCTTCAAATTTCTCCAGGTAGCTTCCAAAGCCCTCCATACTTTGGTCCCATGTACCTACCATGACTTGTCAATGCAAATGTTTCATCCTAATCATATAGTTTCCACTGTCCTGTCCAAATGCCATGCTAGGCCTGTGTGTGTAGCAGGAGATGAGATGAGTGAAGAGGTAGGAAACTATCTCTTACTTGTACTTCCCATGTGCCAGGCTGTTCTAATACTTAATACACACTATGTCATTTAATCCTCACAACACCTCTGTGGACTAGAACTATTATTATCTTCATTTTCTGCATAATGAAACTGAGGCATAGAAAGGTCAAGAAACTTGCAAAAGTCATATAGCCACTAAGTGCTGGAGCTGGGGCTTAAAATGTGGCTTTTCTGTAACACCATCCTACACCTCCAATATAAATTATTTACAGTGTCCATGGCAAATATTTGTCAGAGGTCAGTAATAACTTCCTCATTAAAATGCATATATAACGGTAAAGCTATAGTAGTTAGCATACATTTCTTTTTCCTATTTAGGTTTCAATTCCTTAGTTCTTAACATGCCAGGCAACAAGCTGCTTCTCTCTTTTGTCCACTAGTTCTCTGCAGTGGAACTCTCTGGGCATCAGGGTAGAAGTGGGGAGGGGAACTGAACAAGATCTTCTCATAATTAGGTGGTCATCTTTCACACTGGTCAGACTGGACAGACAAGTGACTTAAAGCTCAACCTGGCTGGGCGCAGTGGCTCACACCTGTAATCCCAGCACTTTGGGAGGCTGAGGTGGGCAGATCACGAGGTCCGGAGATTGAGACCATCCTGGCCAACATGGTGAAACCCCATGTCTACTGAAATACAAAAAATTAACCAGGCACGGTGGCAGGCACCTGTAATCCCAGTTACTCAGGAGGCTGAGGCAGGGAAATCACTTGAACCGGAGAGGCGGAGGTTGGAGTGAGCTGAGATACTGCCACTGTACTCCAGCCTGGGTGACAAAGCAAGACTCCATCTCAAAAACAAAACAAAACAAAACAAAACAAAAAAGCTCATCTCTGGCTACAAGTCTTCTTCATTATTGTTGACACGGGCTGGAGATTTCCACCATAATCCCAACTTAAAAGGAGAAACAATAAAAAATTATTTTCTTAAAGTTTATAACTATTCATTAAAAAACTCATGATAAATATAAGACTGGGTTTTTATACGACTGGAATCAATCAACCAGGAAATATTTAGAGGATATCCACTGTCATGAACTGGGCCACAGAACTACAAGATATGATCATCCCATCCTCATGGAGTTTTCATATAGAATAGGGGATAAAATACAAGATATAAATATTCAATGAAGCAGTAAACAGTGCAAGATAAAATATAGTTAACTGCTAACTTATGGGCTATCATCTCTAACTACAGAGAAATTCAGAGGAGATAGAAATTAAAAAGGGTTGAAATAATCAATGCAGGCTTGAGGCATAGTAAATATTTTGGCTGGCAAAGGACAGAGGGAGGAAAGGTGTTAAAAACAATGGGAGAGCATGGGCAAAGACATCACATTAGGAATAAACATGATGTGTTATGGGACCAGAAAAGCGATCAATTTCTCAAGAACTGTGTATGTACTAGAGAACAAAGGGAAATACAGTAGATAAGTAAAGAGCCAAGGCAAAAAAGAGGCTAGATTTCATATCAAAAAGGTATGGGATTAGATAAGAAAAAGGGTTAATAAAAATGTAGAGAACTTGGAATTCTCCATAGACTGCAGGTGGGGATGTAAACTGGTGCAGCCACATTGGAAAAAAAGTCTGTCAGTTCCTTAAAAAGTTAAACACGGCCAGACACGGTGGCTCATGCCTGTAATCCTAGGACTTTGGGAGGCCGAGGTGGGCGGATCACGAGGGCAAGAGATCAAGACGAATCTGGCCAACATGGTGAAACACCGTCTCTATTAAAAATACAAAAATTAGTTGGTAGTGGTGGCACATG